AAAGAAAGAAAGAAAGAAAGAAAGAAAGAAAGAAAGAAAGAAAGAAAGAAAGAAAGAAAAAAGGAAGGAAGGAAAGGAAAGAAAAGAAAAGGGTTAGAGGACCCTGAGCAGCTGCTTTGTCTATGTCTCCATTTGTCCCAAGCAGCCGTACCTTCTCCTGAGGGGTAGCTGGCAAATCTGACAACTGACTCTACATGTCAGCGGAGGTCTGGCTTTCCACACATTTCAAAGGCTGTCAGGTCATTTCTGTGCATTTTTAAAAAAAGATTTATTTTTTTGAGAGAGAGAGAGAGAGAAAGTGCGTGTGGGGGGAGGGGCAGAGGGAGAGAGAATCTCAAGCAGACTCCCTGCTGAGTGCGGAGTCCAATGCTGGGCTCCATCTTAGGACCCCCCTGACATCATGACCTGAGCCGAAATCACGAGTCGGATGCTTAACTGACTGAGCCACCCAGGAGCCCCATTTCTGTGCATTTTACTATAGGTATTCCAGAGGGAATACCAAATGTTTTAAACCAGAGGGGTGACTCATGGTGGCATTTCCGGCTGCTGAGATATTTTGGGAAAAGCTAGGCTTGTGGCAACTGGCCTGATTCTCCCCGACCCTCTGTGGGTGATGGAGATCCCCCAGCCCCAAGTGTATTTGCATCAGGACCAGACACTTCCCTTCAGTGCCCAGCCCCCATAATTTGTGCCAATTATTGGAACTGAATGCTTTGTTGCCTTGTATAGTTCACTAACTTTCTTAAGTGTCTCTATCTTGCAGCAGGTGATGACTCCTTGAGGAAAATGACAGGGATCTTAAAGGATTCTGTATCTCGCTTGTGGTGGTGCTTACACAAATGTATGCATTGATTAAAACTCATCAAACTATATACTTAAAATGGTTGCATTTTATTGTACATGTATTATCCTCTGATGAAGGTGGTTTTGTAAAAATGATTTTACATCCCATGCAGAGTCTAGAGTCATGTCCTGCTCGTACCTGGATTCACCTACATTTGTGGATTGATTTACTAAGTTAAGCTGTACCTAGAGCGATAGCCAAGAGCCATCTTCCCTTCTAAGCCCAACGATCAACTTGAGAAGGCTCCTCAAAGCACACGGCTGAAATGACTCTGCATTGTCTGGCCTTGCCTCCAACCTGATCTTCCTACCCAGCGATTCAGGCCCAAATCAAGCAGACACACTCGATTCCTCACCCAGCCTATCTTGTAGAATTGCTTTAATATGACCATTGCCATCCCTACTGCTGGGATTACAGTTCCCTCACACCCCAGCTCCCTGCCCTGTATTCCCCACAACTGACCTGGAGAGTGGAAGGCTCCTCCCTGAAACCCTGAATGCGGGGGCACTATGACTCAAGGTTGATTTATCAGACCATGTCTGTTGCTCTGAGCTTCCTAGCCACTCTGTTCCAGAAGCCATGGGGCAGTGGTCTTCTTGCCTGATGGGCTACCATCTTGGGGCCAAGGTTCTAACCATCTTGCCCGAGCTATGGCTCAAGGTGTCTGAGCCCCTTGGATGCTGAGCCCTGTCCTTCTGCCCAAGTGCCTAGCTTCTTTGACTTGCCCGGAACTCAGAAGTGTGGCCTTAAAAAGAAGAAGAAAAAAAAAAAAAGAAGTGCTGCCTGTAGGTAGCAGGGTGGATAATTTTAATTTGTCCATTTATGCTCTCTGGTCTCATGATTCCTGAAGAAGTGAATCTCTCTTCTCTACCAGACTGCAAGCTCGCTGAGGGTGGGGGCCGAGAACTGTCCCTCTTCATTATTCTCTGCTTCTGGCTGACCTAGCACACAGTTGCTGTTTGATAAACATTTATAGAGTGATGAATGAGTTCAATTTCATGAAAACTATGGGGGAGATGCTCCGCCTCATCAGATAGTACCAGGTGCTGATAGAGGGAGACCAGAGGCTTATGTACAGCCGACGGAGTGTGGCTTGGTCCAGCCATGCGGGAGAGCTGTCTGGCAATCTCTCGCCAAGTGGAAGATGCCCTCACTCTGCTCATGCACAGGAATGCTCAGAGCACGGCGATACGTAATCATGAAAAACTACAGGTGACCTAGATGCCCATCCACAATGGACATCGTGATAGTCACACAATCAATCACAGCTTCACCCGTCAATGTGTGGATGATTCTCAAAAACATGGAGCAGATCAAAAAAGAAAGTTGCTGATGGGTATATACAGTTTGATACCACTTACATGATCTTGAAGTGCAAAACATACGGTATATTCGACCTAATGTATTAGGGCCTCAGGACAGGCTGAGTGGCGACTGAGGACCCAGTTCACCCCTCTGCAAAGGGTGTATGTAATATGTGCATATGTATATATTTTACTATCTATGGATACAGGCACTATATATTGATATAAACAATATATGGTAAAATATAGAGAATGATAAACATCAAACTCAGAAGAATGGTCGCCTTGGTGGAGCAGGGAGCAGAAAGAGATATACTTGAGTCAGGTGCACAGAGGGTCTCACCCGTATTGGCAAAGTGATATTTGCTAGGTTGGGTGGCATGGGCACGCGGTGTTAGTGATGTCATTCTTTATTCCGTGGTCATTATGATTGTTGTTCTCCAGACATCTGTGGCCCCTTTCCCTTCTAAGTGTTAGAAGAATTGCACTACCTGGTTCCCTGTGGTCAGGGGAAGCCTGTGACTGACTAGTTCTGGCTAGAGCATTAAATTGCCTTTTGAGACCCTCTGGATTTCTCTTTTGCTTCTGACAATGTTTGAGATGGTGGTTGTCTTATCAGATGGGTCCCTGAGTGATTTCCTGAGCAGAGCCCCCAGCTCATCCTTCAAGGACATGTAGCAGAAGCAGAAGTGTGTTAAGCCACTAAAAAGATATCAGGATTGTTTGGTACTGCCACATAATCTAGTATGTTCTGACTGATACATACCTTTTAATGTGTCTAGAATATTACAATTAAAAAATGAAATGAAAGAAATGCCAAGATTTGTTAAGAGAAGGAGGCATAGGAGAGAAGGGTCTACAAGTCCTCATTTCCACTGGTTACCTACAAAAAAAAAAAAAGGCGATTTCCTAGCTCCCCGTTCCCCCTTGAGTGGTGGCAATGGCCAAGCTCAGCAATGAATTCAGGGAGACTTGAAGCCTGAGTGTGCCTGGCATTCCACTACACCTTCCTTAGAAATCCATTGGGCACCACTGTGCTTTGCACTAGTCAGGCCTCAGCTTCAGGAAATGAGCCCAGCCATTGCTGGGCATCAGACACCTGTGGGCAGACCTGACTCGGAACAATCTCCAGGCTTCTGAGTCCCCTTCCTCCCCTAGGCTGCAGGAACATCAGCCAGAGCCTATATGAGAGATGAGAGCAGTCAGGATGTGAAGTTCTCACCTTACGTGCTGGGCAAGGACGTGAACCTGGGCTCTTGGGAGCTTGGGCTTGATGGCTTTGTCACACACTCTGGAGCCCACTGACACTTCGAACATGAGCCTCCTGCCTTCTTACCTCCGGAGGAAGTGTTCCCAGATTACCTTCAGTTGGAGGGGAGGAGGGAAGGAGCTGCAGGTTAATACCTGGATTTCTATGGTGCTTTTCTTCTCAAAGCTTCAAAAAACTTCCCTTACCCTGATCTCCTGTGGCCTCCCCCAGAAACAGGGCGAGGAGAGGAAGATTCTTTCATTTCCCAGTCCAGGTGAGGAAATGTGGGCCTGGAGAGGGTAAGCAAATGGCCTGTGGTCACAGAGCAAGACAAGGAGATGATTCTGGTGGGCAAAAGTCTCTGTCTCCAGACCCCATCTCCCCCACCCTGGGCCTAGACCCACCCTGCTGGGCTGGCTGGCCTCTCTGTGTGGGCAGCAACCTCTGTGCTGAGGTGTGGACCAGGCCCTGAGTCTCCACTCAGCTGTCCTGGGGCCTGAGCAGAGAGAGGAGGAGCAGGATCCGGGAGAGGCTAAGGTCAGCTCCCCCTCCCACAGAGCAGTGACGACACGTTGGCTGTAAGCCCCAACTGGGAGGTCAGGCCACGGAGGCTGCCAGAACACCGGGGCTGAAGAGGGTCCAGATAATGCAACTGGGGTAGCCTCTGTGGGTGGAAATGACATTTCTTGGCTTTAAATAGCTCCATCTCCGGAGCCCTGGAGCCTCGGCGGGGCTATTAATTCCTAGACTCCCAGGGCTGCCCAGCCCCGTCATTCTGTTTGCACAAGCTGTGTAAGATCTCAGGCATTTTTCCTGCCACCCGTGTCCCCACCTCCCTTCAGTTTTCCTGTGTGACTTCAACAAGGAGTTAGTTTATTTCTAGTAGCAGGCCTGGGTTTCCAGCTGACCGCATACATATTTTGTCCTTCTTACAAGTGACATGGCTCAAGTCAACAGCAAACTCTTGAGGATTTTCTTTGTAACCTGGTGTCTCCAGAAAGAAAGGTAATATGTGTGTGCATGAATGACAAAAAGAGAGACTATATCTATGCATGTACGTGTGTGTATATCAAGTTAATTAGTCCGTTAATCCCCTAGATTTTTTTTTTCTTGATTGTTTACTAAATGTGAGGCACTGTGCTGGTCCCGAGCACATAGGGTAAACAAGAGTCCTAACTGATCAAACAATTGTTATCACCCCCACGCCTGCCCCTCATGGCGTCTCCCGGCCTAGTTGGGCATCCCAGCTACTCGTCCCACGTATCTCTGAATCCTGCCTACCCTCACCAAGTGGAAAATGATGAAGAGGAAAAGACAGATGGGTACAGGAGGTGCTTAGGGCAGAAAACTGACAGGTCGTGGTGGCTGACTGGCTGGAGAAAGAGGATGAATCGATGACAACGCCAAGGTATTTGGCATCTGCTGACAGGGAACGTTGGAGAATGGCTAAGACAGATGCATGGACTGGGGGGCGGGGGCAGTAGGCCATTTGTTTCAGTTTGCTGATAACAAAGTCCACTCACAGCGGCTTAAACACACAGGGCTTTCTTCTCTCACAGCTCCAGGGAAGGTGGAGTAGCTCCACGGTCACTGGGATCCTCCTACCTTCCTGCTCTGTCATCCTCAAATTCTCCTCATGGCCCAAAATGGCAACTGGAGTTCCACCCATTTCATCCGAATTCCAGGAAGAGAGAGGGAGAAAGGACAAAAGGACAAAAAGGGTATATGCACCCCTGCCCTTTTAAGGCACTCACCTGGAAGTCCTCTGTCACCCTCTGCTTGTGCCTTGACCAAAACTTAGTCACATGGCTACATGAAGCTGCCAGGGAGGCCTGGAAATGTAGTTTTTTAGCTGGGTGTGTTGCCCAGAACTCTGTTACTACTGAAGAAGGAAAAGACTGACATCAGGAAGCAACTAGCACTTTTTGCTATGGCACTCAGTAAGTATGTGTTGACTTGCATTGAATCAGCAGGAAAGATAAGGAATTGTGTTTGGGGCCATGAAGGGTTTGCAGTGAGGATGAAACGCCCTATCTGAAACAGGAGTGGAACATATGTGACACAGGGGCTGAAAATCTAGACTCTCAGGTCAGCCACAGACAGGTTAGAATTAAAACTGTGGCTCTGGTGAAAGCCCATGGCTTAGCCTGGGTCAAGTCTACAGCATGGGGGTGGGGGGGGCATGGGAGGGAAGAGAGGGAAGAGCATCTTGCAAAAGAAAAAACTTACAGATCTTGGTTTGTCTGTCGTCACTCTGTGACGTCATCGGGGCTCACTCAGCCTCCAGTCGGTCTGTAGGACACTGCAGTTCCTACCTGGGGATGGCTTTGGAGGGCACCTGTTAAGTAGAGCATGCCCACTTCTCTCCTGTGCCCAGGCTGAGAAGTTTAAGAACATCCATAGGAAAGATACCCCATCTGCTCCTCCCCACCCAGATGTGCCCTGCTCAGACCTGGCTGCCATTTAGACCATTTAGACACCCTGGGAGTGGAAGCGTGGGGGGCTGCCCCATGGAGAAGGAGCAGAGGCAAGGGAGCGCCTTCCCCCCTTGTTATAGAAAGCCTCAAAACGTTTCTCCCGGGGAGGATTTAGATCAGTGGTTCTCAACCACAGGCAGTTTTGTCCTTCAGGGCACATTTGGCCAGGTCTGGGAACATTTTTGATTGTTATGACTAGCGAAGTAGGGTGTGCTATTGACATTCAGTGGGTAGAAGCCAGAGATGTTGCTAAACATCCTCCAAAGCACAGGACAGCCTCCCACAACAAAGAGTTATCCTGCTCAAAATGTGAATAGGCCGAGGTTGCAAAACCCTGGTTTATGTGAGTCTGATCACTGGGCCCACAGGAAACTTAAAGAATTCGTTTTACCCAGGACCATACAGTGTCGACTGACATTCAGGTTCTTTACATAAATTAGTGCCATGCTTCCAACAACTGTAAAGATGTAAGCAGCACTATCATTATCCCTGTTTCACAGATGAACAAACTGAGACTCAAAGAAGTTAGGTGATTACCCAATAGCGCACATCTAGTAAGTGGCCCCAATGCCCACTCACTTTTCATTCCCCACATGCTTCTCCTGTTTTTTATAGTCCCATTACTACAAATATCTGCCTATGATCTCATCTTCTGAAAGCTCATAATTGGGTGTGACAAGTGAGGGAGCACTTTACTAACTAGATCATTCCGTTCACCCTAGCTCCTCCTTCTCTAGCAGTTCTGGGTGAACGGGAATTTCTACGCTTAAAGCATATAAAGATGTATCAGGAGGCTGCAGTTTTCCCTAAAAAGCAAAGCCAAGTAGCCCCAAAGCAGATGAAAATGCACTCAAGTTCATTAAGGGGTCAAGGAAGTACAAGTTAAAGTGACAGGGAGATACCTCCGGGGGTCCCACCTGTTAAAATCACTAAGCACCTGTGCTACCCCTTGCTGCTGGCTGTCCCAGAAAGGGCATCCTCACTCGTCATTGGCGGGGAGGGGAGGGGAACGACCTTTGGCAAAAGCAATCTGCAGTCTCTTCTAAAATTAAACCCAGGGCCACTTTTCCCCAGCAATCCGACTCCTGGGCACACACAGATATGCAACAGGGTTTTATCACACCCTTGCTCATGGTAGCAAGAAACTGGGAATGCGAGTTTTATTGGATGTAAATAAATAAGTAAATAAATAAATAATACCGCTATACAACCATAACAGCTCCTGCGATACAGAAAAATCTGTCTCGCAAGATGCCATGTATATGCATTTCTGTATATGTACATGCAGGAAGAAATATTTGCGTGTGCTTATAAGAACATGGAGAAGAATACGAAAGAGTTTATTCTAGGTTCTTGATATGGGTTTTCCGGGAGTGGATGATACTGAGGTGGGTCCCCAAGGAGGACTCAAGAAGAAAGGAAAAGGAGAAGGAGAACGGAGTTGGTATGTGTGATACGAAGGAGTGTAGGCACTTACGCGACCCTTACACACGTGTAGGTATCTGATTAAATGAAGTTGTACGCACTGTAGTTCTGCAACGGGCCCGAGCAGGGGAGGAGGCAGCGGGGCTCCCTCGGCCGGCCGGGATCGCGGCTCGAGGCCCCCCAGGGCCGGCGGGCAGAGGCTGCACGCTCCCGGGGCGGCGAGCGGCGGGCAGGGGCCCCGGCGGGTCCCGGCGCCTGCGGGCGCGTCGCCCCTGCACCTCGTCGGGGGCGCGGAATCCCTCGCCTCGAGGGCAGCAGACGCCGGCCGCCCCGGAGACCGCGCGGGGATTTTCCAGTGGGGGCGGAGGCTCCTGAAAGGCGCATTGTCGGCCGGGGTGGCGGGGTGGCGGGGTGGCGGGGTGGCGGGGTGGCGGGGTGGGGAAAGGCCGGCGCGGCGCGGGCCCGCAGCCCCAGCCGGGCCCCCACCCCCACCCCCACCCCCACCAAGGTCCGCGTCGCGGAAGCCCCCCTCCATGGCCCGCCGCTTCGCCCGATTCTGCCGCAGCTCGGCCAGAGGCCCGAAGCCCCTGTTCAGCGCGAAGGCGAGTATTACCTGCATGCGGAGGGGGCTGGGAACTCGCGCCCCGCGGGCCACCGGGTTTGTGCGCAGGCGGGCCTTCTTTTAGAGCCAGAGCGTGGCTTGGGCAGCCCCCTGGGGCTTGTTCCGCGTTTGGGGCTCCCTGTCCCTGCCCCTGCGGCCTAGCTCGGTCAAGCGACCTTTGCATGGTGAATGACTAGAGCGTTTGGTAGATGTCTGGGGACGTCCCCTCTGGGGTCCCCATCGTCTCTCCAGATCCCTGAGCGGCATTCCTGTACCATCAGAATCCCACTTCCCCGGCTCTGCGGCTCCATCGTTCCTCTCCATCTGTGGCCTGCTCCCCTCTCCCTCCCCTCCAGCCAGACAGGGCTGCCCTTGGGGACAGGGACCGTATCACTTCCCAGAACACACAGTAGGTATCTTTTACCGAAATTGACTCTGGCAGGGCAGAGAAAGAGGACACTTTGAGTCAAGTGGTTCTCTCCATGTCCCTTGCATAAAAATCTAATTAGGTCTTAGATATCTGTTGTTTGTGCCAAGAGAAGAATTTAGAAATGTAGCCGGAGCCTTAGGCCACTCACCAGGCCTGGCGGCAGGAGGGCAGAGGTGTGACAAAACTTGTAGCTTAAAAAAAAAAACCCAAAAACCAAAACAACAGCACAAAGTTTAAGGGTTAAGTGGAGGTGGCCAAGAAGCTTCTCTTGTTCTCTTGCCCTGGGCTGTTTGCCAGCAAAGAGGGAGGAAAAAGAAAGAAAAGAAAAGAAAAAAACAAAGCAAGAAAAAAAAGAAAGCCCAAGTAGGGGTTTAGTGGCTCCAGGGGAAAGATTTTCTTTCTTTTTTTTTTTTTTAAGATTTTATTTATTTATTTGAAGAGAGAGACACGGCGAAAGAGGGAACACAAGCAGGGGGAGTGGGAGAGGGAGAATCAGGCTTCTCGCCAAGCAGGGAGCCCGATGCGGGGCTCGATCCCAGGACCCTGGGATCATGACCTGAGCTGAAGGCAGACGCTTAACCAACTGAGCCACCCAGGTGCCCCTGGGGGAAAGATTTTCTACCTGGAACTAAAGCAAGAACTGGGCTGCAAACCAAATCTTCTAACTTCTTCTGTGACCAGAAGAGTTGCGAGAGAGAAATGTGTGCGTAGGTGTGTGTGTTGTGTGTATAAAAACCCCGGGCTTGGGGTCAGAGGTCTGATTTCAGGATTTGAGTGATGGTCTCAGACACTTCGATCAGCCCCTTGACCCTGGGAAAGATCCTTGACTTCTCCAAACCTCCGTTTCCTTACCCGTAGCCTGGGGATAATAATCTCACTGCATTCCCCTGACAGTCTAGTACTGGCTGTGCGAGGACCCATCTCAGTTCCCTGCTCACCAGGTCCTCTGGAAGAGGCATGCCAATGTTCACTGCAGCATTATTCACAACCTCCTAAAGGTGGAAACCACCCGCGTGTCCATGGATCGATGAATGCATAGACAAAATGTGCTGTATCCATACAATGGACTCTGGCTCGGCCGTTCAGAAGGAGTGAAGTTCAGATCCATGCTACAGCATGGATGAATCTTAAAAACATGGTGCTCCGTGAAAGGAGCCAGTCACAAAGGGACCAGTATTATGTGATTCCACTTCTGTGCGTTGCCGAGAAAAAGGCAAATTCATAGACTCAGAAACTAGAATAGAGGTGACCAGGGCCTGAGGGGAGGGGAAATGAAGGGTTTACTGCTTAACGGATACAGATTTTCTATTTGGGATGATGAAAACATTTTGGAAATAGATAGTGGTGATGCTTGCACAACCCTGTGACTGGAATTAATGCTGCTGAATTATACACTTAAAAATGGTTAAGAGGACAAATTTTATATTATACATATTTTCCTACAATAAAACATTTAAAAAAAAGGAAGACCATGGGATCTGATTGTGAAAAGAAAGCCCTGTTTTTTTTTTTTTAAGATTTTATTTATTTATTTGACAGAGAGAGACACAGCGAGAGAGGGAACACAAGCAGGGGGAGTGGGAGAGGGAGAAGCAGGCTTCCCACTGAGCGGGGAGCCCAACGTGGGGCTCGATTCCAGGACCCCGGGACAATGACCTGAGCCAAAGGCAGAGGTTTAACGACTGAGCCACCCAGGCGCCCCAGAAAGCCCTGCTTTTAGTAGCCGCGCTTTTGTGATAGCTCCCAACTGGAAACAGCCCCAAAGTCCATCCACAGTGGAGTGGACAGAGTGTTGTGTGCTCCCACACTGAGATGCTGTACACCTGTGAGAATAAGTGACAAGCACACATGGTGAATCTCACCGCTGCGATGGGAGTGAAACAGGCCAGTCGCAAATGAGAACGTCCTGGAGGATTCCATTTCTATGAAGTTCAAAA